AAAATAACACAAATTACCAAAATAAATGGAAATTAACGAAGTAAATGCAACACAATAAGATAACAAAGTCGCATAAATATGCTCCTATCACAAGGTAGGCACTTCCATGGCCATACTTGTCCCTTGCTCTAGGCGTAAAATCTCCTCTTGATGATGAGAAAATATAGCTTCCTGCTTTGAGAAAACGCCTTGAAGTCGTAATGCTTCAGCCTCCAACTGCTCTTGCTCTTGTGCCAACGCTTCTAGACGTGCCTAGACTGAAGTTAAAGAGGTCTATGTAGCTTGATAACCTTCTGAAACAACTTGCTGAGAAGACCAAACTCTGGCAATTGATAAGTCTATTGCCGCAAGTTGTTGAGCTCTAATCTCTGGACTCAATTTCTTTAATGAAATAGCTGATGCGAGAATTATACGCACACAAATTAAACCCTCTTTTTGTCAAATTGTAGTAAGTATGTAAGTAGGGATCGTTCAGGACCGGGGATTAGGAGGGATTGTTAATCACTTGGATTTCACTCAAAAACGTAAAAACACAATATAAAACACTCTACTAGACTCAAAGAATGCAAAACTAAACTTTAAAACACTAAAACAAACCAAAAGACTCAAAACAGCACCAAAACACTCAAAACTGCCTTAAAAACACTTTCTGGGCAGTTTTGAGCACTTTGAGTACTTTGGACGAATTTGGGTAACAAATTGAATCAAAACACTTATAAACACAAACCAAAACACTTTCTAACTAATTTGAACAATACAAAGACTCAAAGGACTCAAAACAAGTTCAAAAGACTCAAAACTGCCTAAAAACACTAACTAGGCAGTTTCTGACCTTAAACCCAAATTTGGACGAAATTAAGTTGTAACTTGACTCAAGACTCTTAAAAACACAAACTAAATTGATTTCTAACTAATTTGGACATTAAAGTAAGGGGGGATTGAGTTTTGGACGAAATTAAACCAATTGCACAGATTCTAATTAAAAACAGAATGTAAATATGAATGTGATGGATTTGAATGGATGGGATGACTAGCTAAGGGGTTCATCTCCACACATGTTACACTTGCATAATAAAAAGATTTCCAATTGCATTTCAATAAACCATGAATTCTCAACGCCCCGGGTTAATTAGGTCCGCTTAAATTAACCGTCAAGTTTTCCTTAAGTTAATGAATTGGATGATTGCATACGACAACCCAAAGCATTCCTCACAAGTTCCCTACATGAATTGCATAATAGAGATACAAGCAAGAATCATTAAGCATCATGAAAACTATAAGTGTTGACGAGGCATTCGTTACTATGATTGCATGAAACTTATGCCAAGAATTTGTTTAACGCGATTGTTTATAAGCAACCTCCACTACTTGTGAATATAAGTTCATAACTATTACGTGAAACTCACTTATATTCTAGCGTCATATTCATGCATGAAAATTAAGTGTGCACTCTCAATAAACATACATAAATAAGTTATCAATCAAATAGTTAAACAAATTGAATCCACAACTTATGAAACGCAATTAGAAGTAATCAAATCAAAATGCAAGCATAAACATATATTTCGAATCCCCCCCTAACCAGGGGGGGTTTAGTTCCTCATGATACAAAACAAAGAGAATCAAAGAAACACCTAAACATTCCAACAACTCAAACTTGAATTGTATGAACGTTTAGGCCCTCTTCTCTTCCATTCCTCATTCGTACAAAACAAAGGGTATTGAAATTAAACATTGAAATCAAAGAAACACCTAAACATTCCAACAACTCAAACTTGAATTGTATGAACGTTTAGGCCCTCTTATCTTCCTCTTCGTTGTAGCACAAGGTCTAAGGATAGGTTTGGAGGGATGGGGAGTTATGGATGGTGTAGAATGATGTGTTTAGGATAGGGATGGATGTAGGGGACCTCAAGGCTTCTTTTTGGGCAGAAAATATGAAGAATGGTGAAGTATGGATGTGTTATAGAGAGGGGATGAATTTCTGGCGTGAATGGTGAATGAATTGTGTATGAATGGGAATGAATTGAATGAATGCAATGCATGGTTTTATAGGGAGAGAAGGGATGGGAGAACATGTGAATGGCAGCTAGGAATGATTAAAGAAGGGAATGCATGTGTAATGACAACTAGATTGGTTGGTGGAAATCTGAAAATGGATGGGAGAGGGAACATGACAGCTAGGTAAAGTGAATGTGGCTGCATGTTTGAATGATTAAATGATGCATGTGGGTTGGAAATGCATGTGCAATGATTCTTTGGTGCTGAAAATGCATGTGTAAGCATGTGTTGGCTGAATTAAAGAATGTGAGGGAATGATGAAAGGGGAAACATGACAGCTAGGTTGAATTATGAAAAGTGAATGCATGTGGCTGATTTATGTGAATGATTATGGGTGATTATGATAAGTGATAAGTGGTGATGATAAGTGTCTGATATGTGATTATGATAAGTGATAAGTGGTGATGATAAGTAATGATTTATGATAAGTGATAAGTGGTGATGATAAGTAATGATATGTGATTATGATAAGTGATAAGTGGTGATGATAAGTAATGATATGTGGGAGTGTGGCTGAAATGAAGGAGTGGAATGTTGGAATGTTATGCACGGCTAAGGATATAGGAAAGGTTTAAATGTCCTAAAACTAAAGGGAACAAGGTTCCAACACTTTGGTCTTCAATTAGGTCTTCAATTTCGTCCAACACTTTGGCTCCAAGCATAGGTTATCCATTCTTAGCCCAAAAGTGCTCCAAAAGTCTCCAAAATGCATCTTTTTGCTCCTTTAGCCCTTTGGACCTACAAACACACGAAAATAGCTTAAAGTACTAAAATAACTAAAGAAACATAACGTAAATGCACGAGAACAAGCCATTTAAGTCGCATGAATATGCTCCTATCAATAGCATGCAAAGAAGAATACTCAGTTGAGGTAGCCATAAGTTCGACAATCTTGACTCTCAAGAACGAGGAATCAACGTTAAGATTGTCAATCATAGAAACAAGCTTCAACAAGTCCTCCTCGAGCAAAGCAAGGTCGTCTAACGGGCACTTGGAAATCCTCAACATCATCCTTTGCTGCAGCTTTGTGGTGAATACCATCCGTACACCGTTTCAAGCTCAAAACTTGAAGCAATCGTTCAATCGTTCGTCTGAGATCAAGTCATTGTGACCCTTGGATCAACAACCTACGCAATTACATCAAATTTGAAGACTGAATCAGAGGAAAATTGTAAACATAAATTGTAACCTACAAATTCAAATCAATACAAATCTACTTTGTACACGTGTTCTCGTTTCATTCGTTACATAATTTTCATGTTTACAGAATTCATAACTAATTATTTCACATAAGAATATAAAGCAAAAAAAAGCAATAGTAATTTTTTTAGGGAACTTTAACGAATAGCTCCTAGTACTGTTCACTTTAACGAAAAACCATATTTTTACACTAAACGGTGAATCCTGATACTATTCACTTTACCCTTTATTTTGTCATTTTTGTTAAAACTCAAAGTTTTCAAGCCATTTTCATTAGTTTTCCCATTTTTTTTAAGCTAGCTACACTAAGCGTCATATCTGAAACACAAGTTAAAATAAAAAAAAATAACAATAAAGAAAAAGTGATAACCAAAAGAAATCTAACTGAGCCATAAGAGGTTACGGAGAAGAATCCAGATTTAATGATTCTATTCTAACAAGTTTGTTTGAATGAATTAATTTGGATTTTGAACATCTTTTAAACTAACTTTTGGAGTTAATTGCAATTTACTAAAATAAGGGAAGATTAATCTTGTGACATTTTGGCAAAGAGAATATTTCCTATCCATTGTATGGCACGTAAAGTGAAAATAGTGCATGTAAAGCTGTAATTAAGAAAAATATTACCTATACTTGTATATTCAATCTAAAATGTCATGTCTCCGCATACAGAACGAAAAAGTATAGCAATTCAAACGAAATGGAAGAAATGAAAACAGAATAGAGAGAGACATAAAGAAAAAGTCCTCTAAACAACGTTGGCAAGATCCAAAGAGAAATAGCGATACAACATTGCTGTGTTACTTGGCCTCTTCTGCAGCAGCCACCTTCGCTTCCTTTGTTGTTTGATCAGCAGTTTCGGTCACGGCTTCTGCAACTTTTTCTGATGCTGCTGATGCATCTTCTATTGCTATGTCTGTTGGAGCATCATGGGTCTTTTCCTTGAGAGGCTTTTCGGCTTCAAGTTGCTTCTCTGGTTCTGTTGACTCCTCTTTCCCTTCTACATTCTGCTAAATTCCAGGCTAGAACATCAATAAATCTAGTACTCATAAATTTACTAGAAACGTAAGTTGGAGTAATTTATTTGTAAAGGTATAAAATTACACTGTTAGATTTACACTTGAGAGTCTACAAAGACGTGACTTGTTCATAACTGCATGCAATTGAAAATGTCATGCCAAAAAGAAATTTATTTGAATTAGTAATCAAAATTCTTCCAAAACCAACAATTCAGGAGGATTCAATTGAAACTTTAAAAGATTTTGATTGATTTATAAACTCTCATATACCCTCTTCCCCATAAAAATAAAATAAAATAAAATAAAAAAATAAATAACAAATACTGTAAGTTTGTAATATCGCGAAATTACTACAATTCAAAATCAGATGACGAAAATACATCTGATAAATAAATTCGAGGTGGAAATCATAACTAAAAGTTGCAGCTCCGTTGCACTCATATGCAAAATGAGATGTCCAAACCCATTTTCAAACTCAGATGTGACAAACCATGATACTGCCATCTAACTAATCCTCTTATAGCACAATGCCTCTGGACTATCAAAATTCATAAAAAATAAAATAAATAAATATTATTGACACTTCAAAAATCTCATTCTACACTCCTCATAATTGTATTTTTCTTTCTAAATATAAAAAGTTTGAAGTGTAGAATGAAAATTTAGAGTGTTAATAACAATTCCACAAAAAAAAAAAAAAAGGAAACAGGGTAATAACAAAGTCACTAGCAAAAGATATTCGAAGGACGAACAAGCTTCTTGGTTGTTCATTAGCAATAATTAGGTGGGGTGTGATGAACCATCCTTAATTTCATTTTTATTTTCTCTCCGAAGCTGTGAAATGATGAAAATATCCTTGTTCGGCTAATTAGAATCCTACGTAAATATTTGAGCTCACTTTCATATTTCGTCTTTGTTTTTGTCATATTTAAGTAATACTCGTCGATATGAACGTTTACGCGTGAACTGAACTTAAATCAGACTTCTAACGATAATTTACACTTGTTTTCAGTTCAGGGGAACGGTAATCATCCCATTGACAACACTACTGTCTATCGATCAACTCCCTCTCTATCTCTCTCACACTCTTCTTCTTCCTTCTGCAACTCAGAGAAAAATGACATCATGCTCGACGAATCGAACCTCCAAACCATCACCATCATGATCCACTCATCAAACCCAGCACGATTGCGCCTTTCGTTTCCCGAACTCAGCCAGAAATTAGAGAACTACGAACTCTATTCAAAACTTTTCCGCGACCTTTCCGTCAATTCAGATGGCGTCAGACCACGATCTTGGTCCTGATCGACTCATTGTCAAAGCAGGTAACTTCTAGACTTATTTCACATGAAGATCTACTTTAGTTTAGTGAGATTCAACTTTTTTTCTATAATGCATGGACACGGGTAACAGCCAGCGTATCCCGTATCTGACACGCAGGGATACGGATACGCATAGGATACGTGTGGATACGAGCCCGATACGTATCGGAATGAAGGGATACGTTATTTATTAATGAGATACGCGTATCATACTGTCGAGATACGCGTATCACACTTTTCGGATACGTTTTCAACTAAATCAGAGGATAATCAGAAGAAAAAAAATAAAAAATAAATCAAGAAATCCGCACAGAATCGTGATTGATTCCAATTAGCTAAACTGAAACGATTGTTTGGCTAAAACCCAAAACGATTTTGGGTATAAAATAATGATTTACCTATTTTTCTTCACTCGAACCTCAGAAATCAGACTTGTCTGCAACTACTCCGTCGTCTCCGTCCAACTGCTTCGTCATCTCCATAGTCTCCGTCTGCAACTGCTGGTAAGAGCTTTCGACTTCGTTTTCACTATGGTAATTTTGAAGCTCAATCTGGTTCCCAGAAGCAGAACCCGGATCTGCAGCTGAAAGGAAAGCTGCTTTCCTGTTTTTAATTTCGAAGTTAAAAGGCTATTACTTTGACTGATTCAATGTGTAGATTGGAAAAAGGGCTTTTGCTTTTTGTATATAATATATTAAATTAATATAGTAGTCGAATGAATGCAGCTTCGTGGCACTGTCCGTGGAAGCACTCAAAGCTTTTGCTTATATTCTTTTGCTTTTTGTATATAATATAATAAAAAGGACCTCCATATATCCTTACGCCAACATTTTTCTATTGGAATAGCCTTTCATGATATTTAGATTATAATACATTGTTCTAGATATTATTGTACTTTCATGATATTTAGCTTAATCTGTTATGTAAATTGGGAATACAGTGTTCTAGATATTTAGATTATAATATTTTATGTATATGCTTTCATGATGCATTTTTTATTTCTTAAGTTAATATAAATTTTTCATGTATTAGTCTTTGTCGATTATACGATGAATTGACTTTTATTGTTTATATGTTTGTTAATTTAGGAAAATGAATCACCCTGATAATCATGTGAATGATAATGCTAATCTGGATGAGATTGTTGAAAATTATAATGCTCCGCTGTGGAAGTATGTCAAAAAGCTCGAAAAAGTGGGAAATAGAGGAGGAGGAAATACTAAATTTGAGTGCAATTATTGTCAAAAAACTTATAAAGGATCCTACTCTAGGGTCAAGTTTCATTTGTTAAAAATGTCTGGAAATGGGATCGCGCCTTGCAACAAGGTTACTGATGAAACTCTTGCGGAAATGAATAAGTTAGTTCGAGAGTGTGAATACAAGTTGAAGAGTTCTGCTCCTAAACATGTTTCGTTGCCCAATACTGGTTCATTCTGTTATGATCTACCTGAAGCAAATCTTGATCCAAAGAAGAGAAAGGGAATAAGTGGGCCTTTCAGTAAAGCTTTTAACAAGGAGGCTCGAGATCAATGTGATGCCGAAGTTGCAAGGATGTTTTATACAGGTGGCTTATCATTTAACCTTGCAAGAAATCCGCACTATCGGAACTCATATGTTCGTGCTTCTACACTTCCAGGGTATGTTCCACCAGGTTACAACGCACTGAGAACTACTCTTCTGCAACAAGAGAAGAGTCACATTGAACGGTGCCTCCAACCAATCAAGCGCACATGGAGCACTAAAGGTGTAAGTGTTTGCAGTGATGGGTGGACAGATGCTCAAAGGAGACCACTTATTAATATTATGGCAGCTTGTGAAAGTGGGCCAATGTTCTTGAGAGAAATTAATTGTGAAGGTGAATACAAAGACAAGCATTATATTGCCAACTTTCTTACAGAAGCTATTAAAGAAATTGGTCATGAAAATGTTGTTCAAGTGATCACTGATAATGCCCCTGTTTGTAAAGCTGCTGGGGTACTTATTGAGGCCCACTATCCCCATATCTTTTGGACACCCTGTGTTGTTCACACTCTTAATCTTGCTTTGAAGAGTATATGTACTCTGAAACAAACAGAAGTTTCCTACGATGACTGCAATTGGATTTCAACTATTGCTAGTGATGCTTGGTCCATAAAAAATTTTATTATGAACCATAGCATGAGATTGTCCATGTTTAATGAACATTGCAAACTAAAGTTACTTTCCATTGCCGAAACAAGGTTTGTTTTCTCCACTTTTTTTTTTTCCTTATTTAATTATAGGTTGTCCTAATTTTTAAATTTTTCAGATTTGCTTCCACACTTGTGATGCTTAGAAGATTGAAGGAAATAAAGGAAGGTTTACAACAAATGGTGATTAGCCCGAATTGGGCTTTGTACAAAGAAGATGATTTGGTTAAAGCAACGATGGTGAAGCAAAAGATATTGGATGAGGATTTTTGGGAGAAGATTGATTATATTCTTTTCTTTACAGCTCCAATATATGAGGTTATTAGAATGGCTGACACAGATAAACCTTGTCTTCACTTGGTGTATGAGTGGTGGGATGCTATGATTGAAAAGGTGAAAGCTGCTATATACAGGAATGAGCGCAAGGCATTACATGAAAAATGCAGCTTTTTTGATGCGGTGTATCGCATTTTATTGGAGCGATGGACTAAAAGTAGCACACCACTTCATTGTTTGGCACATTCATTAAATCCAAGGTAATGATTTTGCTAACTTACTTATAAATTCTTCTAGATTAATTTTTAGCTTTATGAGTACATTTTTAAACTGTTATTTCTTTTATTTTAGGTATTATAGTTCAGAATGGCTCCAAGAAGACCCTAGTCGTCTTGCTCCACACCGAGATGTTGAACTTACAATTGAAAGGAAAAAGTTCTTTGAGAGATACTTTTCCAATGAGGAAATTAGAAGAAATATCAATGTGGAGTATGCCTTTTTCTCTATGTGCTTGAATGACTTTGGAGCTATTGATTCTATGAATGATAGATTTCATTTGGAACCAATGATGTGGTGGATTGTCCATGGAGCTTCTACACCTAGTCTCCAATCCATAGCGTTGAAGCTACTTGGACAACCTTGTTCCTCCTCTTGTTGTGAAAGAAATTGGAGCACTTATAGTTTTGTTCACTCTTTAAGAAGGAACAAGATTACACCACAAAGAGCTGAGGATTTGGTATTTGTGCATAATAATCTTCGTCTTTTATCAAGGAATAGCTCAACCTACAAGGAAGGTATTACTCAATTGTGGGATGTTGGAGGAGATGGCTTTGAAAACTTGGGTGAAGAAAGTGTCGGGATGCTTGAAATAGCTAACCTTTCACTTTATGAACCGTCATTGGAGACTACTTTAGTTACTGGAGGAGACATCATGAATGTGGAAGTTGAATGAGACTTTGCTTTTTTTAATTTTCGTTTGGATTTTCATTTTAATTTTTCAAGTTTGAAGACTAATTGCTTGTTGGATGGACTATCTTTCTAACTGTTAGGAGTTTATTGAAATAAATTTAAACTTGAGTAATAAATTTGAATGTTTATTTTATAATATTTTAGATATATTTATTTATTTATATATATTTTTAATTACCGTATCCTTGACGTATCGTGTCTTCATTTTTAGAAATTTGACGTGTCCCCGTGTCGTATCGTATCGTATCGCCGTATCCGTATCCGTGTCCATGCATCCTAGCTTTTTTTCTCATAGGTCCGTTTTCCGGTGACTTTTGTAGAGAAAGCCGATGACTTTTCCGACCCTTTCCATCGAGTTGGGCGAGTTGGAGGAAGACATTCTAATCACCATCATCCCTAGACTATGTTTCAAGCAACTTGAGCTCCGATCTACTTCGGGATCAAAGAATCCCACAACTTTTGATTCGGGCCGAAATTTACAGGCCACTTTTTGGACTTGCAATTAGGTACAAAATGTGTTCCTCTCCTTCCTAGCTTCATTTTGATATAAAGATCATGCAAAATGGTTGAAAAATGAGCTCTTTCTAAATATGTGAATTTTTTCGGCAAAAAACTCAGAATCCGTCGGCGAAGTAGACTACGGCGCCAGAGCCCGAAGGAAAGAAGAGGACGATCAAATATCCTGTCACAGTGACGGAATATTCCCTAACACCGGCTGCATTTTCCGTTAACGACATGTATATCCTGCGATGAAATATTCCACTCCAGCGTGTGACGGCGCCAGCTAGCATGTGCTAGCGCGTGACGGCTCCCATCGGCTTTCGGCCAACGTGTGGCGACGCGGGGTGGCTCTCGAGCTTTGTTTTTAACACTTTCAATCCCCGTTTTGAGCAAACAAAGAGAATTTTGAGTCTTTTTCTTAGTATTTACAAATTTTGGGTTGTTTAATAATTAGTGTTGTGGTTTTCCATATAAAAGAGACTTACCCTGAGGAGTTCACAGGCCAAGCAAGGTAAGACGGCTACGACCTCATTATGTATTAGTGAGTGTGCTTTGTTTTATATATATATATATGTATGTATGTATTTCTATAACTACTTGGATAATGTGTTTTTTACATCATGTCTTGCTCTTACTTATGATTATGATTCGAGAATATGGAGATTTATGAAATTATAATGACATGATCATACATATTTTTATTTGCTCATCATGCATGCTTATACTGGTGCTTGTAATACTCGTCTGAGCTAGGACCAGCTTACCATGAATGTTCATATCGCATCAGTACGCTCACCTTAGATGTACTAGTTTTCATTAGGCAAGGAAACTAGGACTCGTATGTGATACGCTTAGTGCCAACTTCAGGACTATGTAGTACTTGAGTGTAAATTATTACATGGTTTACATTGCCTGTTTCATGTAGCTACTTCTGCATGGACATGTATGTCTGCATATTTTGATGAGCACGTGGTATTATTTTGTTGATATTGAAATGTGGTTTACCGTACATTTGAATATTTGGATATTATGGTAATTGATGTTCATACTCTTATGCAGTATGCTATTTTGGAAATCATATGGGTTTTACATCAAGGGGTTAGTATTCTACGAAAAACAAAAGTTTTATTAAACCCTTGCTTTTGTTTACTTACACTTACTGTTTTGCACCCTTTCAATTCCTATTTTTGCGACGAGCGAGGGATCTTTGGTGGCTCTAGCATCTACTCCAGTTGATGTAGGAATTTTCAATCCTATGGTTGTGTAATATCATCCTAATCAGGATGAGAATATTCCTACTTTCACTGCATTATTAGTTGTGTTTTGACAATTGCATACTTTGTAATATATGTTTTAATTTACTCGTACTGTCCACACATCATTCCCATTTTATGACTTTGTCACCTTTTAGATGTCGGTCATCACGCCTTGAATTCGGTGTCCACTTGGATATTCAAGTCTGGATGTGGCATGAAGAGACTCAAAGTGGCATTAAGAGACTCAAAGTCAATTGTGGTTGAATGAATGGAAGTGAGACATGAGACTTTTGTGATTTGGATGATTCAGGTAGTGTGGCTTAAGAGGAAATTGAAGATAAATACGACAAATTGGAGGGCAACTGATTGCGATAGTGGGACTGGTAAGTCAGTAAGGTAATATCATGAGATCGAAGGAAACGGAAACTCCAACAAAATCTTAAGGGTGGAGGCAAGATTTGATATGACTTAATTTACCCTATAAATTCCTATGTAATCCTTTATTTTTAAAAATCCTTTCAAATCAATGGTATTTTGAATACAACTGGACTTCTATAAATTCATTTCAAATCCTAGCTAAATACTTTATACTTCAAGAAATTCCTTTAAAATTCTGATTGAGTATCCTAGGGGTCGATGCATATGTACTCGGGTGGTTTCGGAACTACCTAGAAGTTCAAAGAAGTGCATGTGAGGACCTTTGAGGACCATCCAAAAGTCTGGGCAGGTGATGGCAGAGAGAAGACCACCATGACTGTGCAAATGCTGTGCAGCATAAGCTTTGACCAAGAAGAAATATCTAATTTCAAATGAAGAGGAACACAGAAAAGACCACTATAACTCTGTTGCTCTTGGACCTTGGTTCCAACGAAGAAGGACTTTAGCTTTCCATTTCTCACGTGACCAGCTCCCACTTTTTAAATTGTTGATCAATCAGATTGTGCCAACTAGCATTTTAATTAATAAAAGAATGGTGTATTACTTAACCAGTATATTTATCCCATATGTGTGGCATCATTATTTTTATAAAACTTACTATAAATTCATAGGACCTCTAAAAAATATTTTGTCAAGTATTCGAACTCGTAATGACTTGACCATCCATCTCATACTATAATTCACTAAAATACTAGGTGTTAGGGCCTAGATCCTAGCTTGCCACCTAACTAGCTTTTATCATACCTTCATTAGGACCACTCAATATGAGAATTCTAGATTTGCCACTAAAATTCCCCAAGTTTTTAAACTACATCTTTAATAATTAACCTGGCAGGTTGTCTGTTCGCATGCACATTTTAACTTGCAAACAGAGAGAGAGAGAGAGAGATTTTAAGAAGCCAGGGCCTCTTGTTTACTCCATGCATGGTCCCATATAACTACGGAAAGACGAATTTTAAACAGCCAAAGAAATTAAATTGAATAAAACACAAAGAAAGAAACAAGTAGGAGGTTGCCGGCATGTAAACTTCCAAACTATATTTAATCAAATGTCGGGCAGCAAACCTTATAGTCATCGTTCAGTGAAAAATATCTCAGCGGCTGAGAATCTGATGGAAAAATATTATAATGCCGACAGCACATTAGACAAGCATAAAGACATGGCCAGCTTATAAAAGTTAAAGGTTGGTTTGACAACTATTTTTTTCTAAAGAAAAAACTGAAAGTAATTATTTAATGTTTTTAATAATAATACTAAAATAAATGTAACTATAAATACTAAAAAGTTCTCATATCATATGCGTTAAAACAAAGCAATTCCCAAACGGAATGAGCCCTGCAATGAAATTTTTATGATTGAGTTTTCCAGCATCTGGCATAGAGGTATATTCCTCTTAATTTCTTAAAACTATTTTTGTTCGACTCACGTATATCACGAGTTTGATATCAAATTATTATAGTTTGTTCATTATGTATTTTAATACAAATACACATTCCTTTGTAAATATATTATTGTTTAAAAAAAATAAAAGAAAAAAAGCTAGTAACTTTGCACATTAACTTTTGCATTTGGACATTTTCACTTTAACAAGCGACACGTGTCATGTTTTATACAAAATAACATAAATGACCATTTACCACAGTGGTGGAAACGAGTTGAACTCTTACATGACATCATGAGTTTGAACCCTATCGGTGTGTAATTTAACAAAATCTAACGTTTGATAAACAATAAATTTAATACCTTCGATATTATAATTTTTTATGTTTTCCTTCTTGAATTCCTACCAAAAAAACATTAAAGGTTTTTTTTTGTTTTTTTTTTGTGTGTGTGTAAAAATGAAATGTCGCATTTGAGAAAGTTAGAAGGCCCAAATGCAAAGGTTGATAACACTCCCCAAGATGATAAAAGTTAAAAGGAAAAACATTTTGCAAGTGGTTTGTAACTCAATTAGTTAAGAGCATTTGTCCATGCACTTAAGGTCTCGTGTTTGAAACCTCATTTTTGAGTTTACATGAATTTAGGAGAAGAAGAAAAACACATGAATATTTTGATGACAAAAACTGTCACATCCCAGCCTGGGACGGATCACTTCTCGGGCCCGCTCCACCATCGTAGCACGATATTGTCCGCTTTGGGCCCCGACCACGCCCTCACGGTTTTGTTTCTGGGAACTCACACGAGAACTTCCCAATGGGTCACCCATCCTAGGAGTGCTCTCACGCGCTACTCGCTTAACTTCGAAGTTCCCATGGAACCCGAAGCCAGTGAGCTCCCAAAATGCCTCGTGCTAGGTAGAGATGGGAATATACATATAAGGATCACTCCCCTGGGCGATGTGGGATGTCACAATCCACCCCCCTTAGGGGCCCAACGTCCTCGTCGGCACACCACAACCAGGGTTAGGCTCTGATACCAAATTGTCACATCCCGCTCCACCACCGTAGCACGATATTAGGCCTAGGTAAGGATGGGAATATACATATAAGGATCACTCCATTGGGCGATGTGGAATGTCACAATCCACCCCCATTAGGGGCCCGACATCCTCGTCGGCAAACCACAACCAGGGTTAGGCTCTAATACCAAATTGTCACATCCCGGCCCGGGGGGGACCACATCCTGGGCCCAGCTCCGCCGTAGCACGATATTGTCCGCTTTGGGCCCCGACCACACCCTCACGGTTTTGTTTCTGGGAACTCACACGAGAACTTCTCAATAGGTCACCCATCCTAGGAGTGCTCTCGCGCGCTACTCGCTTAACTTCGGAGTTCCCATGGAACCCGAAGCCAATGAGCTCCCAAAAGGCCTCGTGCTAGGTAGGGATGAGAATATACAAATAAGGATCACTCCCCTGGACGATGTGGGATGTCACAAAAACATTTCACTTACTTGTAAAATAGAATATCATTAGACAATAAGTGGGGTAATGAGTGTCGTACTACTAAGTAATAACTCTATAAAACTCAAATTATATAAATGGATTTAGAAAATGTTTGAAAGGTTATTTCATAATGAAGTTAAAAATAAAGGTGTCATTCGTAAGTTAGAGATATAAGAAGTCCAAAAAACATAAATAAAGATAAAGGAAAATTAATACATGTGTTAAATTTGATATTAAAAACGGGATTTTGCAAGAATTTCATACTAATGACTATAGCAACAAAAAGTTGTCACAAACATGATGACGGGGAGACACACGGCTACTATAACTAGATATAGTTCAATACACACACACACACACACACGAAGCCTTTAAGAGAATGAATTTTTATGTTTTTTTATAAAAATGAGGATTATTTGTGAAGTCCACACGACATAGAATTTTAACGATCTAAGCTATTTATTTTTTTAAGTTGCACCTCATAGATCATCCTTACAAAATATTAGCCAAATCGGAAATATTTAAGTCATTTAATTGGGTTCAAAAAAATTAACAAATATTTTGTTATATAAGAAACAATGAAATTTGATCTTAATAATTAAATAGGCAATGATTTTGGATTGAATTGAATTTTTGCAAAAATGATCTATGAATCGAGACTTACAAACTAGATGGTTTAAATCGTTGAAGTTCAATGTAAATTGGACCCCACACTAGTCCCCATTTTTTGAAAAAAATGAAAATCCCTTTGCATAAAGGGCCTATATATATATATTCCCTTCACTGAGTGGAGAAGAATTAAAATAATATCATGTGATTTGTTGGCGTAAAAAAAAAAAAAAAAAAAAAATGTAAGAATGTGATAAAATGCGTATAATAATTTAATTACTAGGTACGTACCTTGAACAAAAGACTGAGAGAGCGACGTTTACTTCCTTGTCCATCATCATCAACGATCTCCTTGGCTTTATCATCACCACCACCCTGAGCCTCCTCAGGCTCAGGCTCAGGCTCAGGAGTTATTTCTATCTTTTTCTCAGCTTCATCAATATCAGCAACTAACACCACCTCCTTCTCCTTTTCTTGATCATCAACCGCCGCTGCGGCTATCGCTTGATCTTCCTTGGCTACGGGCTCTGGAGCTGGCACTGGCGCCTCGCTCGCCGCCACCGCGGCTGCTTGATCTTCCTTGGCCGCAGGCTCTGGAGCTGGCACTGGCGCCTCGCTCGCCGCCTCCCCCTTTGACACCTTTGGCTTCGTTGCACACCCTCCCATCTCTCTTACTTAAGGATCGAGTCAAAAATCAAATAAAGGAAATATCAAGACTAGCTAGCAGCAAAAAATCAGAGGACAAGAAAAAGTGGCTATGGAGACAGATTGTTTATAGGGAGAGCTTAGAGAGCACCTGTTGTTCCAACATTTGTTCCAAGGCAAATAAAAAATTATGTCTACATATTTTATTCATTCGTTATCATTGAAAATATAGTTGTAAAATAAAAACTATAAATATTAGGATAATACTTGTGTTTCTCCCACGAGGGCATAAATGTATCTCTCTTTGTGAATAACGTACTTTCACTGTATAACTCAATAATGAAATTCTTCATATTTTTAATTTTCATTTGAAGATCATCTATAAAAAAAGATTGTTCAAATCCAATTCGTCATCCAAATATGTCATATAAATGGATGGTTCCTCGTGAATATATATGTTACTTGGTAATTACACTGGTGGTTTGTTTTATATATTTGGATGACTAAACTATCTTCAATTCAAATGAAATTTTTGTAAGAGTAATTTTCAAATATAAATTAAAAAATTGAATGATTTCGATTAAATGGCCAATATACATTATGTGAAATAAGTGAGATATGCACATTCCAAAGAGCGCAAGAATTATACTAAATATTACTAATGTGAAATGGGGGTCACTGCAGGCTGTGTGAAATTAACATAATTATTATGGGGTGAACAGTGGTAATTACTAGTTAAAGGCAAATAGGAAGTTGAAAGGGGCCAGTTTGAAAGGGAAAGCTTAACCTGTGGCCTATGGGATCGATCAAAGGAGTATTTTAGAGAAGGACGCATATGATACGAATATATGTTGTACGTGTATTAATTTTTTTTTCATATGTCATTATTAACGCAAGACACTATTATAGCGGTGTATTTATGCTGTGGTAAACGAAATTTTTTTCAAGTGTTTTTATACAAATGATGAGAAATTGTATTTTTTAAGTTATTAACTTTTAATACATAATGATATGTGGTATACCACCTCATATTTCCGTCACACTGAAAAATCTCTCATGATATACGAGAAATTTTTCCCTGTTTCGGGAAATCCACGTCAAACATGACATGTGGAGTACTGAACCAATATGCATCTACAACATGGCTTTTTGTTTTTTCCCCACTCAAATTCGCTTTTTTATTGTTTTATTTTTTTATGTTGAAAAGTAGTTCATTCTTTATTATTTTTATCAAAACTCTTTCTAAAAATTTTGAAACTCATCTTCTTCGTCTGCAACCTTCTTCACAGTCTGATTTGAACTTAATAACTCTACAACCTTCTTCACAATTGATTCCCAATCCCGTCGGTTGTGCACTCTCAAAATCCCCCAACATCGCCATCTTGAGAGTCTCCATCGCCAAATCAACA